AGCTACCCTTGCACACACAGGTACGACTTGTCTGGCATCCACATCTTCCCGTTGGATTATAGATTCTAGAGCTTCCGATCATATGACTGGAACTCCAGGTGTATTTTCATCCATTTCTTCGTCCTCCACTTCCCAATCTGTTACTCTTGCCAATGGCTCTACATCAACCATATGTGGTGTTGGCAATGTTGACACTGACTCATTATCCCTCTCTTCAGTTTTATATGTTCCCAAGTTTTCCTTTAACCTGATGTCTGTTAGTAAATTGACTCGGTTTCTTAATTGCTCAATAAATTTTTACCCTTTCTCTTGTGTGTTTCAGGATCTCAAGACGGGGATGAAGATTGGTGGACTGTATTATCTTGATGGAGGTGGTTCGGCAACAGCTCTTCAGTCATCTCTCTCCCCTCATTAGTGGCATTGCAAACTTGGTCATCCGTCTCTTAGAGCTCTTCAGTTACTTGCTTCGTCGTTCCGTCGTTGCGTCGTCTTTCTAATTTAAATTGTGAGTCGTGTCAGAGTAGTGTTCTTTTTCTTTAAATTGTGAGTCGTCTCTAATTTAAATTGTGGGTCGTCTCTTAGAGCTCTTCATTTACTTGTTTCTTTTAGAGTTGATAGTTGTACATCGAGTCATTTTTCTTTAATTCATTCGGACATCTGGGGTCCAAACAGAGTAGTGTCTTATAATGGTTACAAGCACTTTGTAATTTTTGTTGATGATTATTCAAGGATGACATGGCTTTACCTTATGAAAGAAAAGAGTGAATTCTTTTCTATCTTCCAGAAATTTTATGCTGAAATTCGCAATCAATTTGGTGCACATATTAGAATTCTTCGTTCTGATAATGGCCGCGAGTATTTTTCCACACACTTTCAAGAATATTTGGAACAACATGGCRTTATCCATCAAACCTCATGTACCTACACCCCTCAACAAAATGGGGTGGTTGAAAGAAAGAACCGTCACCTTTTGGAAACTACTCAGTCCCTCTTACATTAGATGAATGTCCCCAAACCCTTTTGGATTGATGTTGCACTTACATCTTGCTTTCTTATTAACTGCATGCCCTTGTCTATCCTTGAAGGTCAGTCTCCTTTCTCTGTTCTATTTCCCACATTGTCTCCTTTTCCCGTTACTCCCAAAGTTTTTGGATGAGTGTGTTTTGTTCATAATCTTGGGCTTGGAATGGACAAGTTAGGTGCTAGATCCACTTAGTGTGTCTTTCTT